TAGTTTGTGTGTCTTCGGCTCGTTGCTCGGCAAGTTTTTTTTTCTGGCCTGACTAATTATACTTTTACACTTGACTTGGCAGAGTTTATGCTTCTTTCCATTTTCCTCAGTAGGATTTGACTTCCAATTTTGGAAAGGATGCCTTTTGCCTTTTTAACTGCTTCTTTTAATTGTTTAGCCATACTGGCACTTTTTGATCCTTACTCTTTTTTAATTTAGGGTACACATTTAATTTGAGCCTCTATTATTGTGTTTTCAAAAAGTTTCCATGCAGCTTGCAGGCATTTCACTCTTGTGATTGCTCCTTTTAATGTCCACTTAATTAGCTTCCTCATTTTTGTATAGTTCTCCTGAAACGAAATGCTACTTGGTGGGCTTCTCTGGTATCCCCCCCACAAGGATGTTAACTTTAATTATATTACGGTTGTTGCCACCAAGCGGTTCAGCTATATTCACCTCTTGGACCAGATCCTGTGCTCCACTAAAGACAAAATCAAGAACTGTCTTTCCCCTTGTGGGTTCCAGGACCAGCTGCTCCAAGAAGCAGTCATTAATGGTGTCCAGAACTTTAATTCTGCATCCCATCCTGAGGCGACATGTATCCGGTCAATATGGGGATAGTTGAAATCCCCCATTATTTACTGAGTTTTCTGTTTTTATAGCCAATCTAATCTCCCTGAACATTTCACACAATCACCATCACAAGCCTGGTCTGATGGTCAGTAACAAATTCCTACTGCTATACACTTATTATTCAAGCATGAAATTTCTATACATAGAGATTCTATGGTACAGCTTGATTCATTTAAGATTTTTACTATATTTGACTCTGCTTTCTTTCACATATAGTGTCTCTCCCCACCAGCATGACCTATTCTGTCATTCCTGTATTATACCCTAGTATTATGATGTCCCATTGATGATATTCATTCCATCAAGTTTCCATAATGCCCATTATATCAATACCTTCATTTAATACCAGGCATTCAAGTTCACCCATCTAAAAATTTTTACTTTTAGCATTCATATACAAGCACTTTTAAAATTTGTCACTTTTTAGTTGTCTGCCATTATGTTCTGTAATTAAATGGGACACTTTCATTTGACTGTTTCCCTCCTATTCCTACCTGTACTTTATCAATTTCTATCCTCTCCTCTTTACTAGAATTTAAAGAATACCCATTAATTGAACCTCCCCTATGGGACATCTTTGTCCGAACTATGCGCTCCTCCACACCTGTCAGCTTTGCCCTCATTCCCTCAGCCCTTAAAAGCTCCTCTATGGCCTTTTTAATTTTATGTGCCTGAAATCTGGTTCCCTTTTGGTTTAGGTGGAGCCATCTTCCTGTATAGGCTCCTCATTTCCCAAAAGGTTTCCCAGTTCCTAAAAAACCCAAATTCTCCTCTCTACCCTATTGTCTCCTCGACGCATTGAGACACTGACGTTCTGCCTGTCTAACTGGCCCTGCAGATGGAACAGGAAGCATTTCAGAGGATGCTACCACGGAGGTCCTGGACTTTAATCTCTTACCTAGCAGCCTAAATGTGACCTCCAGGACCTCTCCCCATGTCTCCTGGCACTGCTATTGGTACCAATCTCTTCTCTCTAGAGCAGAGGTGGGCAAACTATGTCCCGCAAGCTGCGTCCAGCCGGTCACATGTCTTAATCTGACCCTCGAGCTCCTGCCAGAGAGCGGGATTTGGGGCTTGCCCTGCTCCTGCGCTCCAGCCGGGGGAGCGGGATCAGGGGCTTGCCCCACTCCGTGCATGCCGTAGCTGCGAGTGATTCCCAGAAGCAGTGGCATGTCCCCTCTCCGGCTCCTACATGTAGGGGCAGCCAGGGAGCTTCGGATGCTGCCCTCACCCCAAGTGCCACCCTCACAGCTCCCATTGGCCAGGAACTGCTACCAATGGGAGCTGTGGGGGTGGTGCCTGCAGATGGGGCAGTGCACAGAGCCGCCTGGCCATGCCTCCATGTAGGAGCCAGAGTGGAGCCATGCCACTGCTTCTGGGAGCTGCTTGAAGTAAGCGCCACCCAGAGCCTACACCGCTGACCTCCTCCCTCGCTCCAACCCCCTAACTCCACCCCGATCCTCCTCCCACCCTCCAAACCCCTCTGTCCCAGTCCGGAGCACCTCCTACACCCCAAACCGCTCATCCACAGCCCCATCCCAGAGCCCGCACCCCGAGCCCGCCATACAATTTCCATTCCCAGATGCAGCCCTCGGGACAAAAAGTTTGCCCATCCCTGTTCTAGAAACATCCTATCTTTTGCTGACTTAACCATATGCACACATTTATCTACCATTTTCTTTGCTGATGACTCATGTTTACCTTTGCCCCCTTCATCCAGTCCCACAAATCTCTTTCTCTGGGTGTGTTGAAATTGCAGCTGGTAGTATGCCTTCCAGTCTGGACAGACTGACACATGCCAGCTCCACTTCAGCCAGCTAAAATTAGCAATATGGATGTTGCAGCACAGGCTAGCTGCCTGAGTGCAAGAAGACCCAATCTCTGGGTCCAAGCTCAGGCATCATCATCGAATCTGCAATTATTAGCACTCTAACTCAAGCGGAACTAGTATATATCTTTCTACCCAGACTGGGAGGCATACTACCAGCTGCAGTGTAGACACACCCTGTGGTATTTCCTCCTGACTGATCTGCTGCTAACCCAGTTTGAATGTGGCCAAAAATAAGCTTATTTTTTATTCCCAAACCCTGACCCCTTCACCCTTCCCCACGGCTCGGTGGCACACTCACCAACATTCTTATAACTTTGAGGTTCTGTGACCCTTCTCCCTCTTGCATATATATAAGACAATGTCTATCTCATCACTTTCCCCTTATTCATATATTATTTGTACAATCATAGCACATAGCAGCCCTAGTCATGGACCAGGAACCCACAGTGCTAGACTCTGTACCAACACAGAACAAAAACATGCTCTCCAAAGTGGCAGAACTGCAACCACTTCAGAACCCAAGCAAAATGGGAATTGAAGACCCTCTGACTTAATTTAGGATTTTGTACTGCCACCCATTACCACAGTGTTTGAGCACCAGCTGATGGCCTTTGGCTGTTGCCACCAGTATTCAGAGAGAACACCCAGGTTAGAATGTGAGTACCAATCTCTTGGGACAACTGATACATTTCTGAAATGAATAGGTACAACAACTGCAGATTCACAAGTTGCACTGATTAAAAGTTTGGCCTAGTATTATTACTAATAAAAATTCACATTCCCACCTAATTAAAAGTTCTTGTACTGTAGTTCAGTAGAGTTTATGTAGTGTTCTTCAAACAGGACATCACTAAAAACTTCAGAGTGAGACAGTCACACTGTAGTCGAAAGAGAAAAGGAAGGTTTTTAATGTGAGATTTAAAAAGAAGAAGAGACTGAATTAGAAAGGGGAGAGGGTTTTGGTTGAACAGAAGAATATATGGTAATCAAACCAAACAATATTGCCACCCCATGAATCGGAGGGTGGATCAAAACAGTCTCTTTTTATAAAAATAGATGTACTCATTCAATATAATAGCTACAATTTTCAAAGAAGTGTAAAACATCTGGAGATTCCCTGGCAGCCTTTTTTTATTATTTGATTTTTTTAAAATAGTGCTTTTATTTTGCTTTTTCTGCCCAATCAACCAGGCAGCTAGTGTTTTTTTTTTTTTAAATTAAAGATATCTGGCCTGATTTTGGCGTTCTAGGCAAATTCCGAATTTGTGTTCTCAGTCAGTCACTGACTATTAATTCGCTGCTCACAAATGTACATTTGGTTTCACAAACTGAGTTTCCATACAGCCTGATTTCTGACTGAAATTTGAATTTTATATTAGTATTCTTTCATGTTGGTCAGTAACTAATGCTAAGTCATCGTCCGGGGAAGGAGAAGACGTGACAAAACAGGGTGACCAGATATCCCGATTTTATAGGGACAATCCTGATTTTGTGGTCTCTCTCTTATATAGACTCCTATTACCCCCACCCCCAACCTGATTTTTCACATTTGCTGTCTGGTCACCCTATGACAAAAAGACTTATTACCTCTGTATCAATTTTTGTTGTCCTTCCTCTGAAGGCTAGATGGGAAAAGAAATGGAACTTTTCTCCTTCATTTAGACTATGGTTTTATCCAATCTTTCATCAAGATATTTGCCCTCAGTTATCTGAACAGGACCATTAAGTGCTTGGCTTGGCTCTTCATTTGTCAGGACTTCAGAGGTGCTCTCTTGCATCATCAGTGTTAAATAGTATAGCTGTAGCTGCAAGCATTCAGTGAGGCATTGGAGAGTCCAAGACTGCGGCAAAAGAGAATTTTTTTAAAAGGGTAGATTTGATGTCTTTGATCTGCCTAGAATGATCCTCTGATGCTGAGACAATGCCACATGGAGGTAGCCCATGCAAAACATGTAGCAGCAGTAGAGGCTGCAGAAAATGCTTCATTTTTTTTTCCAGGGCAGTTTCCCATCCACGCAGGAGATTAGAAGAGCAAAGCATTTCAGGCACTTACGTAGTAGGGTAATGAGTACTATAGGAGACCATAAAGACATCAGTAAAACAGCCCTACCTTTTTGCTTCTTTTTGGTGTGTTTATCTACCACATTGAGTGGATCAGAATGAGTGCCCTGCCAAAATAAAGTGTTATTCTTCTGCGGAGCCCAGAAAATAAAGCTTGGCATAACTAAGAAAGATCCCTGAACCCCCTAAACTTTGCAAATTAACAATTTTTCAGTGCTCTATGAATCTGTAGGCCCACCGGATAACTCTGCTAGTAGTCAGAAAGAAGTGAGGATTTTCCATAGAGTGGAATGAAGTCTTTCTTCAGTTGACAATTCTGTTCCTGCCTGAAGGAACAGGGAAAGCCCGCTACTAGAATGGTAAAATTGCCAGTGGTGAAGAACTCACAATTCTGTACAATATACTGCAACATCCACTGAGTATTCCATGGAAAACTAACTGAGTAAATATACAATACATTATCTCATCCAGTTCCTTAAAAATATTTCTGCTAGATTTCACTGAAGTCTTACAGTCTGATTCAACAGATCATAGTTATTTTCAGTTATTTTCTGGTCTGGGAATAAAGTCCCTTCCTGCAGCTTTTGAAACAGACCAGAGTTCCTGAAGATGCGAGCATCATGCACCTTTCACGGCCATCCAACGTTGATGTTGGTGAAACGTCCCTTGTGATCCACCAGAGCTTGCAGCACTATCGAAAAGTACCCCTTGCGGTTTATGTACTCGGCGGCTTGGTGCTCCGGTGCCAAGATAGGGATATGGGTTCCGTCTATAGCCCCACCACAGTTAGGGAATCCCATTGCAGCAAAGCCATCCACTATGACCTGCACATTTCCCAGGGTCACTACCCTTGATATCAGCAGATCTTTGATTGCGTGGGCTACTTGCATCACAGCAGCCCCCACAGTAGATTTGCCCACTCCAAATTGATTCCCAACTGACCGGTAGCTGTCTGGTGTTGCAAGCTTCCACAGGGCTATCGCCACTCGCTTCTCAACTGTGAGGGCTGCTCTCATCTTGGTATTCATGCGCTTCAGGGCAGGGGAAAGCAAGTCACAAAGTTCCATGAAAGTGCCCTTACGCATGCGAAAGTTTCGCAGCCACTGGGAATTGTCCCAGACCTGCAACATTATGCGGTCCCACCAGTCTGTGCTTGTTTCCCGAGCCCAGAATCGGCGTTCCACAGCATGAACCTGCCCCATTAGCACCATGATGCATGCATTGGCAGGGCCCATGCTTTCAGAGAAATCTGTGTCCATGTCCTGATCACTCACGTGACCGCGCTGACGTCGCCTCCTCGCCCGGTATCGCTTTGCCAGGTTCTGGTGCTGCATATACTGCTGGATAATGCGTGTGGTGGTTAATGTGCTCCTAATTGCCAAAGTGAGCTGAGCGGCCTCCATGCTTGCCTTGGGATGGCGTCCGCACAGAAAAAGGCGCGGAACGATTGTCTGCCGTTGCTCTGACGGAGGGAGGGGCGACTGACGACACGGCTTACAGGGTTGGCTTCAGGGAGCTAAAATCAACAAAGGGGGTGCCTGTACATCAAGGAGTATTTCAGGCAGGACTGCACGGAGGGTTCCAATAAGAAATGGTGCACCTAAGTTATCGTTCTTATTGGAACAAGGAGGTTAGTCTGGCCTCTGATTGATACATGGCTAGATTTATCTTGCTGCACCTTCTCTGTGAGTGACTGCAGTGTGATCTAGAGGAATGAGTCCCCTAGACAGGGGAGGAGGCAAATGAGTACAAAACAAATCTGGTCTATTTCTTGTTTTGACCCACTCCATCTATCTTTTACATCTTTGGCTGGCAGCAGACGGTGCAGAAGGACTGCATGCCATCCACATCTCATGGCTGCTTGGCAGAAGATGGTACAGTACGACTGCTAGCCATCCTCATCTCTTGCCTGCCTGGCAGAAGATGGTACAGTACGACTGCTAGCAGTCCGTATCGCCTGCCCGCTCACCATAAGACGGTTCAATAGGACTGACTGCAGGACTAAAGAGAATGACCTGGTCAAGTCACTCCAAATTTAGTCCCTGCGCCCATGTCTGCCCAGGCGCTCCCAGCCGACGTGGCCAGGAGCACCTCGGACATGACGATGACGGCTACCAGTCGTACTGTACCGTCTGCTGCCAGAAGGCAATGGGTTGCTGCTACTGTGTAGCAATGCCGTACCGCGTCTGCCAGCACCCAGGAGACATAGGGTGACGGTTACCTGAACGGGCTCCATGCTTGCCGTGGTATGGCGTCTGCACAGGTAACTCAGGAAAAAAAGGCGCGAAATGATTGTCTGCCCTTGCTTTCACGGAGGGAGGGGAGAGAATGGGGGGCCGGACGATATGTACCCAGAACCACCCGCGACAATGTTTTAGCCCCATCAGGCATTGGGATCTCAACCCAGAATTCCAATGGGCAGCGGAGACTGCGGGAACTGTGGGATAGCTACCCACAGTGCAACGCTCCGGAAGTCGACTCTAGCCTCGGTACTGTGGAAGCGCTCCGCCGAGTTAATGCACTTAATGCACTTAGAGCATTTTCTGTGGGGACACACACACTCGAATATATAAAACCGATTTCTAAAAAAACCGACTTCTATAAATTCAACCTTATTCCGTAGTGTAGACATACCCTAAGATGATTCTGGGTTGCTGAAAACCTGGACTACACTATGCTTGGTGGTGGATGGAATCTTTGAAGAATTTAGCAGCAAAGTTCTATTAAATCTCTACTGAGCATGCAACTTGGCCAAAATGCAACTTGGCCAAATTTGGGTGGATTTTTACAGGGATGGCAAAGACATCACTGACACAAAGGTCAACTCCCTGCCAAAATTTCAAATCCCTGCTCCAAAGCATGGATGCACTAGTGGGTTTCAAAAAAAAAAAAAAAGATTACTGGAATTTTTAATGTGGTCAAAACAATTTTTTCTCTAACCTAGTTCTCTGAAATGGCTGAATTGTTTTGGCTGAAGTTTTTCATAAAAAAACAAAGCCTAAGGCAAACATGGTGGTAAAGTTATAAGAAACTGAACAAAATGGGAAGTATCAGGTAACCTTAGTAACAGACAGCACTACCAGCCCTACCTATAATAATATACTGTTCTTTTTTCAGAGGATGATGGCAAACAGCACATAAAAGTACTTTCATTTTAGGTACATAGTAATATTACCAGCTCACCTGTTGCAATACAACTGTAGAGAGTCACCAATTCTTTTACATATTTTCAATTCTGTTCCAATATTTTCATTATTCGCAAGATAAAAAGAGTTCACGATGTCTACCTCTCTCAGTAAAAAAACTTGATAAATCAAAATTTGAAATATTTTTGCAACCAGTCTTGGTATTGTTGTAAACAGAAAAAAGAAAAGCTGCATACAAGTATCATATATACAAATACAGATGAGTCCCCATATAATGATTTACCTTAAACTGTAAAGATTAAGACAACACGCATAACTACGTAAATCCAATAAGAAATGTAATTGTGTCCATTTACATCAGTAATTCAGTTTTCACAAATGAAAATTATATTTGCTTTATGATGTTTCACACAGGATGGATTTGATTTAAATCATGATTTAAATTACAAGTCAGGAAGACTCGACTTAATCATGGATTTCTACATAAAAGTGCATTCTTGTTGGTTGTTATAACCTTAATACATATTCTTCACAACTCAGAGACAGATGTAGGTTTCATTTTTAGAAGGTACACACTATACATATTTAAAGTGATTTATTTTGAAAACTTTTCAGATTAGTTTTACAGCTATATCAGAAAATGAATGATTGTTTGGTTATTTCAGGTCCCAAACGATTTCTCAATTTGGAATGAATTAGTCCAAAGGAAAAAAATATTTTTTCTACACCGGCAGAAGAAGCTACTGCTGTTAAAAGTGAGATTATCACTTCAACAGTCTCTGAATCCAACTGCTTAAGTGACTTCCACCAGTTCACTGGTGAGACTTTCTTTAGATCATCATCAGCAAACATATTTCTTGAATGGTTCATCCTTAGCTCTGAAGTTTACTATAGCTGGCATTATGGAGGGATCATTGCTGGATACATTTTATAAAAAAAATAAAAAAATCTGATTTATATACAAAAAAATCAGATTTTTTTTATTTTATTTTTTAAATAATTGATTTTTATCCACCCTGGTTTCACAACAGCTATTAATTACTCTGCATAATTCTTCTTTGTAAAGACTAAAATTAAAAATGCATAGCACCAAGATGACATACAAACTTCAACCCTTATTAGTACACTGTACAACAACTAAAGTAACTGAACATTATTCCAAACAGTCACATTCATGCCACCGGCCCATCCAAGTACCAATGTGTAATAAAACCTATTACATCCACGATTTTAAACCTTATCGATACTGTATAGCTCATTATTAGCCATTCTCTCAGTCACTAATGATACAATACATAATGCTATGAAAAGAATATCTGAGCCAAGGTAACCTGGTACTTAAGCTCCTTTGGAAACTATAAACTTTTTTTTTTATATTTATATACATATACATATATATATATATATAGGCCACAGATCTAAAATAATTGAAGTGCTCTCCTGATGACTCATTAGGGTAACAAGGAAATAGGGATTGTTGGATAACTAATCAAGCTCAACACACCATCAGCATCTTAAAGTTATACCGCAGTTCTGAAAGGCACAATTAATTGATTAAATATTGATCTCCACTATTTATTTTTATTACGAACAATAATGGAATCTCTATATTAAATATATACGTCAGTATTCTA